TTCTCCAAAACTATTTATTCTTTAAGACAGATTAAATGTTGTCTTTCAGTGGGGAAACCTCTCTTTCTGGGTGCGGGGCAGTGGGAATCTCAGACAAAATTATACTTCATCTCTTCAGGGTTTAGCACACTAAAATATAGTAGAAACTCAGCAATTGTCTAATGAATGAGTGAAATAATAAAAGAATCAATAAATGAAGCCTTTTTCTTCCATCACTAGTGTTTTGAAGATGTATGCAAGTCATGTTCACTGACCACCATTATCCAAAAACAATGAAATGATGGCTTCTTCAATTTTGGAAATCACAAAAAGGGCAATGTAGTGTATTGGTTCTATGGGAATTTTTTTTTAATGATAAAAAAATTTTAACTAAAATTTTCATATGTAAATGTTCCCGAATGCCAAAATAAATGATTTTTTAAAGACTCAAATTAGTTCTCTTTAGCGATATTTACTCCGAGATTTTACCCACAGGTCAATTTTATTAGGAAGTTTTTATTCCCTATTGTTCTAAAGAATATGTTTTTGTAGAAATATCCACACAGGGTTGTAACATCATCTCCTCCATTTAACCTTAATTTTCTATTTAGTTTGAAGAGACCATGGAAAAAATTACTTTTCAGTAGCCAAATTGTTCCCTATTCGCACCTTCATCAGCACTACTGCATTATAGCCTGCAGGTCAGCAGGCTGTAAACAGTTAGCATAAATTGGCAATTCAGAAAGTGAATTTTAGTGCACAAATAATATTTCCTCTGAATGCATTAGGGTCTCATCTGTCAAACCTGAACATTAATCACACCCCCACTGAAAGTGTCTGTGTGTTCCAGGTATAGATCACCGTACTCCTTTTCATTTTTTCCTCTCTATTTGCTTTTGAAAGCCAAAGAAGAAACATTATATTACTTTACTTATAGTATTAAACTCACTTTCTAAAACAGAATAGGAAAAATATCTTTTGGTAAAGAGATAAAGGTAGAGATGCTAACTATTAACTTAATTTTATATCTTATTTCTTTCCCAAGGGTGTACCATTCAATGAAGGAAATGGAATGAGCAGTTTATATAAAATCCAGGTATTTACTTTTATAATTATGTAAAATCATTTCCAGTTATAAATTAATATAAATTCTTATAATCTTTTTCTTTTTTTTTTATTTTTGAAGGGAGGTGTGAATGTGCCCAGTTATCCAGGTCCCCCCGGACCCCCGGTGAGTACAGCTGTTTGTCACCAAGCATACTTTAGTGGAGCAGCCACAATTAAAACAAAACAAAACAAACAAAACTCCTAAGTTCACTGGAAAATACATTTTATAAATATAACCAAAATTTTATGCAGGAAGAAATAAATGGAACCAATTATAATGAAATTAATAAAATGTACCCAGCCCAAATAATGAAAAATAGTATTATGCATAGCAGTGTCACTTTTTGCACTGAAAACCTAAGAACTGAATTAATGTCCAGGCATCACTGTCATGGAGTTCCATCAAATTATTTTTCTTCATCTTATTCTGCAAATCCAAACTGTAGCAAAACAAAAGTTGAAAATAGCTTTATGTGTATCCAAGCAAATTGGACAAAAATGCTTCATATTCCGTAATTTTAGTTCAGCCATTGTTTTAAACATGAATACCCTTTTTTTTTTTTTTATCATAGGGCCCAAAAGGCGATCCTGGCCTAGTGGTATGTATATTCTCATGTTTTTGTGTCATTTAGAAAGAAGTCTTTATTAATGTTTGAAAGTAGAACATCAGGCAAAGGTGACTGCCTTCTTAGATGTTCATCCATTAACATGCTGGAAGCAGCAGACAGACTACCAAAGAAATGCCAGCAATGTGCTTTTGATTTTTAAGCTGCATCAGTGCTCTTGTTGTCACTGCCCTTGACGTTTGTCTCTTTCATCAGTGTGTTTTAAAAATCACTCTGTGATGGAGGAAGGCAAATATAAAGCTCTCGATAAATGGGACACTTTCTATTTTAATAGAATAATTTTGATGATTGATTTAACGTTAAATAGATTGTAAAAGAGAAATACTTACTAGAAATAAATTTCTTAATCTGTTGGCCATCTCCTCAACAAGGAAGGAAGGAAGGAAGGAGGG